CATTCATTCTGCTTGTGAGAATTTCTCCTGTTGTTTCTAATTGGTTTATTGAGTTTTCAGTCCCATGTTCATTTCCATTTGGGTTTTCTCACTATTTCTATCTCTTCAGTGAATTTTCTTTTCAAGGTATGAATTGTTTTTAATATTCTGTTAAGCTGCATATTTGTATATCCTTGGGTTTCCTTCAAAAGGTTATGCCTTTCTTCTTTGAGTTCTTTGAATTGTTTGTGTTTTCTTGAAATTCTTTGATCATGTTTATGATTTTTCCCTTAAATTCTGCATTCTGGGGTCCAACAGGGTGATTCTCAATCCTGTGCACTTCTGTGGGACTCAAAGGTTTTGTTGGGGACGTATTTTCCTGGTTTTTCATATTGTTTGTGTTTTTGCATTGTCATTTGGGTATATGGATATTCTTTGTTGGTTATGTGTTCAACAGGAACTTCTACTGTTTTTGTTTAATTTTGGTTCTGTTAATATTGTTTATGTAGCTTAGTTACTTTTTGTTTATGTATGGAAGACAAATTGGTGGGTATTTTAAGTTCTTGGTCAGAGTCCTGACTGAACAGGTCTGTCTGCCTGAATGAGAAGTTGGCTGTGAAGGGACTGCCTTGGGGGACTTAGGGATCTATGGTAGGGTGTTTAGTTAATCAGGTTTGGGGAGCTAGTCCTGGGACCTGAGGTGAAGAAATTGGAGCCTGCCTGTGAGAGAAGCCAGCAGGGAATGGGGTGGGGATGGATGAGAGAAATGGAGTAGGAAGGCAGTGAGCTGGATCTGACTTACCAGAGTCCTGGCTGAGCATGTCTGTCTGCCTGATCCAGAGTTGGGAATCTGGCAGTGAGGGGACTGCCTAAGGACTTAGGGATCTATTGTAGGGTGTTTAGTTATCCGGTTTGGGAATCGAGTTGAAGAAATTGGAGCCACCTGTGAGAGAGGCAGGCAGGGGACAGGGTGGGGGTGGATGAGAGAAAAACAGTTTCTAATTCTTGTGTGAGACTCAAGTCTTCCTTTTTTGAGTATAGGTCTGTTTCTGTTTATATAATTTATATGCTTTTTTTGTTTTCTTATTGGGTATGAAAAGCTTGTTGGTCTAGGCTTCAGGTTCTCTCTTCTGATTTTATATTGGAGGGGCCTGATGGCTTTAATCCAGGTGTTCAGGAGTTCCCACAGAGGCCCAAGTCTAACAATGATCAGATGCTCTCAGGCTTCCTCCTAAGGTCTGGGTCCCTCTAATCAGCAGGCACAGTACAATTTGGGAGGCTTGCTAGGTAGAGGTAGGATTTAGGCAATCTCAGACAGTCAGGGAAGGAGACTGGTCTCAGGAATCCCAGGCAGGTTGGGCCTGGGGACACCCAGGGAAGAAGGCTGGTCTCAGTTGTGCAAAGGCAAGTTGGGGGTTGGGGCAGGCTGTGAGGATCTAGGGAAGTAGACTGAAGAATTGGGTTGGTCTGGGTGCAGAGGATCAGGAAGCAGTTGGGGCATCTGAACCAAAAGTGCAGTCCAGAGGTCTGGAGTGCCAATAGAAAAAGTATGCCTGTGCCCAGAGCTAGAAGCAGAATGGGTTGTGCTAGGTTTAATTTCAGTTATTTCCAATTTCCCCTATAATGAACATTTTTGTATATACATATTTTAAGATATTTGCCAGATCTAATGAGGTATAGTATTGTTATCACTTGTTTTCTGGATATTTGTGTTTCTTCTCTTCTAAGAGAAGTGATGGAAATTATTGATCCCAATCATACACTCTCTCTCTTCATTGAGAATAAAGCTTGGAAAATATTTCTCATTCAAGACAATATCAATATATTATTTTTTGGAGCCACGTTTACCACATTATATGTTTAATGCACATGCTATTTTTGAGTAAGATACTCCTAGTGGTATTTATTGAAAAAGCCATCTTTTCTTAACTGGTCTTGTATTATCATGTACTAAATTCAATTCTTGATGAATGTGCAGATTCTACTGCTGAATTTTTCTGTGGGACTTATTGATTTATAATTGTCTTGTGTTGGTAGCATCTGTTTATGACATCTCTAATCATAATTGATTAGGAGGGAAAGATCCATTGATATCCTTATTTGAAAATGAAAGAGTTGATTGTTCTCATAATTTCATCTTTAATTACACTGTTGCAATCATTTGGTCAAGTTTTATGAAATAATGTTGGTGTTTTGTTTGGAATTATAGTATGTCTACAAATGAATTAGGTGCAAATCACATTTTGTATTGATGCTTTCTAATTCAGAATTTTGATATGCTTTTCTTTTTAACAAGCCCTTCCTAAATATAAATTTTGTTTTCATATTGTAACGACAATTCCTACTCATTGTAGAAAACGTAATATAAATGAATATCCCTTTCTTCAGTGCTTTCAGATAGAGCACTGAGTTAATCATGTTGGTAGTTCATCTGCATGTATGGCATTGGGCCATGGGACACCATAAGTCAGAAAAGGCTGACTGTTATACATACCTATTACTTGTACATACTCACATACTATGGTCCTATGAGGAGGTAGAGATGTAGTACATCTTCTGACTCTGGGATCAGGCTCCTGCAGCAGTGAGATTTTTCTCCTCAAGCTCTGGCCTCTTGATGATAGTGTGAAATAGCATCATAAAGTTTCTCTCTGTTGCATTCAGCACAAATAGTGTCATAATTAGTGTGTCTTGTCTACTTTTCCCACCAGACTATATTCTTTAAGAAGAAAGTATGTTTCATTCATATTTGTAACCCTAATATGCATTGTACATGATTGTTTCAAGAACCTTTGTTAGACTAGCAGAGTGAAAAATATAAATGCTTGCAAAAAGATTTGAATGAATCTATCCAAATTGTGGGTCTCAAGTAATTTTACATTCAACATATATTCCTGTGATAATTGGGAAGAAAGAAAACCTTAGGAAGATTTTCTAAAGGTCTAAAAAAAGTTCACCACCAACAAAAAAGCAAGGGCCCACCAAGATAGCTTAGCTCATAAAGGTTCTCAGGGCTGATGACTTGAGTTTGATCCCAGAACCCATGTAAAGGCAAGAGAGACTTGACTCCACAGAGTTGTCCTGTGATGTCCATATGTGCTGTGCCAGGAGAGCCTGAAAACACACACACACACACACACACACACACACACACACCACAGAGTAAATTAAATAAATATTTTTTTTAAAAGAAGCAATTTTTGGAGAAAGATGGGTCTGTAGCCCAGGTTAGCCTTGAATTTGCTATGTAGCCAAGGGTGACCTTGAAACTCCTGATCTTGCCTCCGGATCTCAAGTTCTGGAATTTCAAGCATGTGCCACCATACCCAAACAAGAAAGTCTTGAAAATGTCTCCATGCTTTTTTTTCTTCTAATCCTTTTCTTATTTGTTTCTTTTACACTTAAAATTTATTTTAAAATTATTATTTTATGTGTGTGTATATGTATGTAGGGGAGGGTGCATGCACCATGCTAGTGTATGGAGGGGCTCAGAGAACAACTTTATGGAGCTGGTTTTCTCCTTTTGACTTTATTCCAAAGATTGAAGTCAGGTTTCAAGCTTGCATGGGATATACATTTACCTATTGACCCATCTTATTGGATTTCTTGCTTGTGTGTTTGGGTTCCTGCAAAGGCCAGAAGAAGACATCAGAGCCCACGGTGCTGGAGACACAGGTTTGGATATAGGTGCTAGGATCCAACTTCTGGCCCTCATGATAGAGCAGCAATCATTCTTAACCACTGAGAGCTATTTTTTGAGTTCCTCATTTCTAATTTTTACTATACAAGTTTCAATATATTCATTTAAATCTTATTTTACCAATGTCTTTTAACATTTTGCAAATGAGTAGGTTCTAAAGCAGTGAAATTCTTACCAATTGTATGGATAATAGAAAAAAAATATGCCTCTCAAAGCTCAGGGATCATTGAGAAAGAGGAGATGGAAAGATTAAAGAGTCAGAGAGAGAGGATGATGACAAGGAAAGTAACAGCTGGTCAGTACTCATATGAACTCTCAGCAGTGCTGACATCATTCTCAAATCCTATTCAAACTCAAGCCAGACAAAATCCCAACCTAGACATGGAGAAGTAGGTAAGAAATCCCAACTAAACCTAAGGAACTTTAGGCATTTGATAGCTGCTGAGAGGGGGAAAGACAGTGTCTTATAGGGAAGGAACTCATGGTGCGCCCAGTGGATGGTCCCATACTGAAGGATATTTAGGGACGCAAATCAGACTCCAAAGGCTGTATTATACAACGCGCGCGCGCGCGCGCGCGCGCACACACACACACACACACATGAACGCACATTAAATTGGGTGTAGGGGCAGTGATGAGAGGTATGGTTAGGGGAGATCTAAATATCATCAATCTATATTGCATAAAAATTGTGAAAATTCAATTAAGAAAAAAAGACTAAAAATGATTACAAAAAATTTAAGGATAATTTGTAGACAAAGCAGGCACTGTGATACATCATATTTTAAAAAGCACATTTGCTCATGGGCAACTTTTCTTCTTATAAATAGTGAAGTAATTTAGTTTAATTTCTATCTTCTATGGTTGCAAAGACTGCTTTTTATAGTGGTTCTGGAGAAATATTATTTAATATGTCTCAAAAATAAAGCAAGTGAAAGGAACATCTTAAGACATGAGGCTGGCACAGTGGGGCAGCTCTGGATTAGAGCCCAGCCACTCAGGAGGCTTGAGCAGGAGGACCTCAAGTTTCAAGGCCAGTGTAGGCAACATTGTGGGATCCTGTCTCACAAAAGACAGAGAAAAAGAAAACTGTGATATATTGAAATCCTAAATGTGTTTCAGACATAACTCAGCTTTGCTTAGTAACGGCTTTGGATCTATTGTGTTGGAAATGCATCTGTGTGTGTAGCCCCTGCTGTTTACCTCACCCCAACTGTGTTCCGCTAATCTGGATTTTGAAAGAATGAGGAACAGACTTCTGTTAAAATGACCACAGTGTACTTTATTTTAATGATTTTGGTACCTTGTGTTGCAATAAAATTAAAAAAAAAATCTACAAAATCCAAATATATAAAATTTCAAGTTTTTTTTTTTAAGTTTTACAAGAAAAATCAGATAACCAAGGAAATTTATTCATTATGAAGTACTACTTTCCACTTCATTTTCATCACAAATTGCAACTTGCTTAACTGACCAAAATAACTATAGTACTGTAGTACATCAAATACTCCACAAACTGTGCTTTGAACTAGAGCACTTGGAGTCACTGCCCAGAACAGCAGCCTCCAGCCAATAAAGACACACTTACAATCTGAATGCTAAAGGAATATTTGGATACATGGAATTAGAATATATATATTTACAGGAAGAAATTTAATAACTTGTTTAATTCTTTGCTTCAAATAAAATTCCAAATACATTTGTACAATGTTTACAAAGTAAAAGCACAAGAACCGGCAAGGTTTTCATTTGGGTCCAGGCACTGTGCTGTTCCAGGAGAAATGTCTTCGCTGTTCCCTATGCACACACCTTATTTCTGAAATGGAGGGGGAAACACGAGAATGGTCATGGTGCATCAGAATGTCACAAAGACAGCTGAAGTCAGGGAACTGAGGAACCAGTGGTCTGTTCTCTTCTTTTTGGTGTTCATCTGCCATCTGCTACTTTTTTCAGACATAGGTTTTAAAAGATAACAAAATTGGACAGAAAAAGAAGCCAAAAATTTTTAAGGCAAAGTAAGCAAACATAGAGTAGCCTCTCTTGGTGTTGAGTGGAAATGAAGGATTTTAAACCCAAACCCCACTCAGAAACAAATCAAATCAAGCAGAACCAACTGGGGTTGGGTTACTTATGCGGTTTACGAATTTCTGAAAATTGTTTTGGATCAAATGTTCTTTTGAAATTTTCAATGAAGAGATTTATTGATTGCAAAGTGAATTATTTCATGTTTCTAAATCAAACAACAGTAGCTGAGGTAGTTAGATGTGAAAGTTAAAACTTAAAATAACATGGAAATGAAGGACTAGTGTCAGTAGCCAGACCCCTTGCCATCTGGAAACAGGTTCAGCTTGCACAACAGTTTAGTGCAGAGCAAAAGGCTATTTTCTTGCAAGGTGCTATTTGTTAAACCATAATATCAGCACCAGCAGTACTCTTTCCCAAGCTATGTGGTAAAATGCTAATACAGAGAATGTTCGCTTTCTGGTCTTCTCCTTCGTAAATAATTCTTTCACTATCATATAAAATAGCATGATTTACCATTACTGGAAGCTTCAATCTTAACTGTAAAGGAGAAAATAATAAAAACCAGCAAAGAATCAGTAGGAGAGACAATTTTGCTCTCACTTTAACAATATTTTGTCTCAGCCCTAATTTCATCGTGTTGTTTGGTTTCAACAAGGGCAGACATTTCTGGGTCCCTGTTTGCTCTCTTCCTTCTGAGAACAGGATATTGCATTTCTGTGTCCACCAGTGTATCTTTACTGAGGCTGTTGAGCTATCTGGCTACTAAGAAGAGAAGCAGAAATTATTCAGTAGAAGCAAGGTTCCCATCCAACAGTAACTATGTCCTCTCCCATCTTGCCCCATGTATCAGAGAAAGGCTTTAGATGGGACTTCAATAAGCAAGTGAGCAAAAGATTCATTTAAAAAGTTTTAGGAAAACAATATGTTGGTGGTATAGTTGGATATAAAGTAGTTAGGAGACACTTAAATGACAGAGAATTTCTGTGTGTATCTTTGTTTATTACTTGTTTACAGAATAAAGTGTTGTCAGCCAGAAGTAGCCATGAAGGTTGGCAACCAATTTACAAAGCATCAGAAATGTGATGTGTATCAAGTGATGGGTCCACAGCAGAATAATCACATGTATCTTTGCTAAAAACTAGTTTTTCTAACAGTGTCTTATTTTCAGGAAAGGCTCTAAAGAGTTCCATGTGGAATGGAAAGTCTTGAAAAGAGACTCAACTCTCCTTCCTCCAGCAAGTAGATGTGTGGCTTCTGTCTAAAGAACATGTTGCCATTTGTGCTTTCCTCTTTTCAATGAAGCATCTAGACCATCATTTAAAGGAGCTGCCCAGCTCTAACATGTTTATGACAAAATCTCCCCATTACATGGTATCCCCATTACTTTCTGCAAACCCACCTGAATCTAGTCCTAGTAGTCAACTTCAGTTTTCTATATAAAAACAAATAAAAACATTTATTTTCATAATAAAAGGGCATACTCTTGCATTTTTGGTTAGAAAAATACCAATATCAGGAAGGGGCAGGGGAAAGACAGGGATGTCAATTAATTTTTACTCACTGTATTTACATGACCAGTCTATCATACAGTCTACTGTAGTAGTATAGATATTTTTAATGCGTCAGATAATTGTCTAGGTTGCAGTCATGCTTCGGAAAACAATGTCATGCATTAGAAATGTTTAAGAAGTTTGAAAATTTAAGTGTTTGATATCCATTGGCAACTATATTTTAGAATCCAGAAGAGATTATATTGGATGTGACTATTGTATATAATCCACTCCTCAAGGGAAATGCTTTGAAATCCTGTTTTTAAGGGTGTACAAATTTCTTTTGCAAAGGAATGTAATTATTAAATAAGGGTGCTGCATGAAACCACATCAGTAGAATATTACCCACAACAATAGTGTGATTTTGTGGATGTATTCTTCCTCCATGATACTGCTTTCATGGCTCAAATATTACAAATGTTTTTATTGCCCAGATCATGTCATTTAGCATTTAGTTCTGATTACATTTAGTCATTAAAGCAAGAAAATACACAGGATATTCACTGAAGATGTTTTTCTACCATCTCCTTTGTTTTCTCCATTCATAGAATTCACATCTGTGTATTATATCCGTGTAAGTACATGAATATCAATATGTTGCTGTTGCCCTTGTGTAACCACTTCTCTGAGATACTTAAAATGCATGTATAATGTGAAGGTGGATCAGCTTAGGAGTTACAAGCAGGAACACAGCTTCACCTCTTTCTGTGTGTCATGGTAGAAATGAAAGTAAACATTGTTAAATCATCCCAAATCAAATCTCAACAATATCTGCTAAAGATCTTCCCAGGAGTGGATTCCAAAATGTCACTTGTCACCATCAGTGCTGAACTGGGAATGATATACAGTTCTAAAAAGTGGGGTCAGCTACAGAAACCCCTTAGGTGTCAGAAGGAGCCAGGTTTTGTGGATGCATTTATAAACTTTTATTTATATTATTTTATTTATTAAGCAAAATTCAGTTTGATTACAGGAAAGTGGTCCATGTATACCAAGACCCTCCATGGCTATACGAAAGGAGTTAATTTTCTCTTTAAATAACTTTAAATTTCAAAGTTTCTACCTAGACCTTTTAAAGAGAAGTTTTACCTACAACAAGTGGAGAATAAGGAGGAATAAGTGAACTCTTTGCTTAGTTAAGGTGTTGCTGCTGTGTTCCTCAGACAACCCCAGCACCCCTTCTTAGCCCATCTCTTGTGATACATACAGTTCTCTTCATAATTAGCCAGGCACTTATCAAGAGAGACCGTGCTTTCTACCTTCAAAGTGCTTTACCAGCCCTCATAGTCTTCACAACACCCTGTGAGGTAGGTAAATAAATTTTTTCTCTCCTTCACATGTGGGAAATTGAGGCCAACATGAGTTTCTAAGGTGGAAGAGATGAACCAGGGATTAGGACTCAGGCATATGTAGACTCCTAGTTCCTTTGCTCCCATCACTGGACCACATTCCCTCATGTCCCTCTACCCAGAACAGAATATATTCCATAATGTAAAAGATATTGTTTCATAGAGTACATTTAAGCATATTTAAAGCAGTCATAATATTCAACACAGGGATTTCTGATTTTCTATTAATCTATAATTTTGCATCAATGGCCTAAAAATCAAAGACAATAAAAGAAACAGCTATTTTTGTGATTGCCAATTGTCAACTCTTTGTTGCAAAATCAACTAACAGCTTCTTAGTAACATGAAGATATAACAATTTGGTACAAAGATGTAGTGACTAAAAATGACAGAGAAAAAGGAAAAAAAGCCCAATTGTTTCAGCGCAGACTTCAGGTATTTCTAAAGATATTCCCAGCACCTGGACTGAAGCCACAGCGTGCCTTCATGGTATGGGTCCAAAACAATTGGTAGGGGCATGGACACACAGGGCATGTGAGTGAAGTTTGGGTGTTAAGAGAAACTTGAGTGAAGTTTAGAGAAACTTGAGTGAAGTTGGGTGTTCAGAGAAACTTCTGCATCCAAGAGAAGAGGGGAGGCAGGACCCAAGAAGGAACTTCATCACCTATCCTGTGAAGTCATTCTTGGCACTAATATAGACTTTAACACAATCAAAATACAATACTACATAAGGACCTTGGAAATATTTAGATTGTCTTTGGAAATCCCTCAAGATATTTGCATAGCTGAATGCCTCTCTGAGCTCAGTGTCATCTAGAATCCATGCCTCAGAGCAAGCTTTGCAGCAGAAGTGCTTTTCAAAGAAACATGGTCCCAACCGTTTGATTTTCTGATGAACTTCAGATCTATGAGGTAAGCTCACAGCTTGAGGGCTCACTACCCAGAGCAAGACCAGCAAGACAAGACCAACTTGCTAATGTTAAAAGGAAGAAACAAATATGGAGCAGTATGAACATCCTCAATTTTCCTTCTGGAAGGTGAGCATCCATTGATGCTAACCTTTTTTTTTTTCCTCCTATAGAATTGCAGCAGTGACTACTGGGAAGTCACTAGCATTCCAACACACATGATTCCCCAGTTGGCAACTGGTAACTGGAATGACATCAACAAGCCAAGCCCCAAAAGTTAGACATTTTGTTTAATTTGGGGAAAATAGCTTTGTTTTTCCCTCTTACAGACAGCATAAAATTCAGCATGAAATAATTGTATCAAACAATTTAAACATTTTAAACTCTAAGATATAACAAGGAACATGTAAAAGTTCTATTTGAACAATTAAAAGTTAAAATTTTTGTATTTCCTTTGGGCCATTCTGTCAGTGGATTTTTAGATATTTAAGATTTATGAAGAACAGGAAAGACAGTAAAAGCTAAACATGAAGTTTCCTTGCCTGGAAAAGCGGAGTGGAAGGCCTGTACACACCACCACTCTGATGGAGGTTGCCCACAGCCATGTCCAGAACACCCAAGGCAGAGCCACCAAACTTCCTCCAGTCACAAGTTTGCAGAAAGTAAATCAAAATGAATCAAGTTTGCTCTGTGTTATTTCTTTCTCTTGTCACAACAAAGAGACTTTTATCAGCGTAATAGTAGCAACAGAAGACGACTGTGCAAGAAAGTTCCACTACCTGCAACACCTGAGCAATTTGTCTATCTATACCCAGACAAGCAGATGGAAAACCGTACACTCCAAATATTGGGATGCTTCCAGATAGTTTCCAAATGTTTGATATCATGAGAACCAAATTTGCCGCATGAATGACCAACTGCTTCACTTTTCATAGGGATATTTGCATTCATGTGGATAGTCTTCTTAATAACTCTTCAGTGTCTACTTTGGTTTGATGAAAATGGTTCAGCAATCATCTGGAAAATTCAAATATCAAAAGTCCACAAATGAAAAGAAACTTAGTCATGAGGAAAAATCAGAGCTTTAGGGTGATTAATGGTCCAATTTTTTTTTGTCTAGGCAGAAAAATTTAACTATCTTTTTTTGTTTGTTTGTTTCCATTGTTCTGAAAAATCACTCTCACGGGGGTTATTTTCTCAGTCTTGGAATAGACACACAGATAGGTTGACTGATTGAATCCAGATCCAAATTATATTTCAAAGAGGCTAATATTGGTAAACCTGGCTGAATGAGTTTGAACACAGAGCTTGTTGGATGTTATATTTATAATGGGATAATGAATAAGGCCATGGTAACCCTGAATCTCATTGCTATTAAAGAGTGATACTTAATTGATTTATGTTTGACAAACAAGAGTGACTTACAATGCCTTGTTTTGTAATCCATCAGAAGTGCTTGTGTGCACAGTAACATAGGGCTCAATAATCAAGGAGAAGCATCATGACGGAAGGTTTTTTGGAAGAGCCAGACTGAAACATGAAGCTGCCCAAATCCCTTCCAACTCTCCATTTTAGTCAGGCCTTGGCTTTTCAAAAGGGGAGATGTGTATTGTCATGAATATGGAATGGCAGAGGCTAGATTATATGTCTGCTCTGCGAACAGGTAACTCTTCCTGACAAGCTATAGACAGGTTTTCTTGGGCCTGTACATTAGTAGAAATCCTCTGTCCTGGTATCCAACATTCCCATGGTCATACTCATTTATGAGGCTTGTTAAAGAAGAGTGTCCTGCTCATTGTATGTTACAGAGTTCCAGAGTTTAAGAAATGAATATTTCCTTTATCTTGCTAGTTCTTGTTGCCTGGTATTTGAAAGTCACAGTAGGAGGCTACCTTGCTACCATTCAGTGCTAGTGATTATGTCAAGAGCTAGTTTGATAAAGAACTTGCCATGATACTAGTGTTGTTAACTGGGAATGTCATTCAGAAGCTCTTGGAGATAACCGCTAAGGGGATTACTTAAGAAATGGAGTGATCCCTGCTTCAACCTCTTATTTTTCTTCCAGATTGATTATTGGATACATTTTAAGACATTCACTCCTTCATCTAGAGCTAACTCCTAAAACTGATAGGAAAAGATTAGCTAGAAAACTTAAGAACACAAGGATGCCAAACTCTTGCACACTCTAAAGCTTTATCTGACCCTCCGGCAACGTCATTCTTACCTTTATTTGAGAAAAGAGAAATGGAAAGAACCAAATTGAGTCTACCTATTTTCTTCTAAGAGAAGATGTAGGTATTAAGAACATCGGGTTGGTCATCTTTAAGGTCATGATCCACGTTTTATGGGATCTGAGAAGCAACAGAGTAGTTGATTCCATGTAGAAATGGATATTGGTTTGGGACTGGTAATGGCACTACTTAGGAAGGCAGGCATCTAACCTCTGAAGCTGATTTATAAGCTCAAGCTTTACACATTGGTTATTAAAATGCTGACAATGAAGTAAATTAAAAGCAGTGACTGTACTCAGATCGGTTATTAAACAGAAGAGACTTTTTTTCATTTCCAAACAAGTGGATTTCAATCTCCTTGAAGCACATCTCTGTGACCTATATCCATTGCTCTGAGCTATACTAGCCCCCAGGAATCTATTGACTTATTTTTCTCAAAACAGTGCTTGCTGGCAAAAACAAATGACGCAGATGGATGCCAGTGGCATTTGTGTTGAGGAATAGGGTAGCATGATTCTCTTAGCTCTACTTCACAGAGATCTGTTTCATCAGGCCTGAGCACATCATGGTACAATGCTGAACCAAGTGCTCCTTTCCCAGTAACTGATTAATGTTCTCTTGCAGGGGCTTGATTACAATATTACGAGTCAAGAATTTGCAAGATTAAAGTGTCTGTTGATTAATTAACTGCAAGTCACCTCCAGTAAAACTTGGTAAGTTCCAAGATGTTTCTGGAAAAAAAAAAAATAAAGGAATCAATAGCATGGCAGCAGTCTGAACACTTGTGAAAATTGGGCTGTTTTTGAGGATGGCTGGTCCACTGCACTCCTTTGTTAGTTCTTTTCACGGAGTACCTTTGCTTCTAATTCAGATCAAAGAAAATGGTTCTCCCCAGACTATTGAAGCAGATTTTAGAGAGCCAGTTTCTCATTATTCATAAAACATTAGAAAGGTTAAGAAAAGAGGTTGAGTATTTTAGTTCTTTGAAAGCAGGATATAACATGACAGTGTTTTCACTAACTGACTGGTCTCCTTTGGTTACAGGATGGTACCCTATTTCTCCCATTTTGAATAGAATACAAATCATGGAGGCTCCATAGAAAACCACGGGCCAATATTTAATTGCTTTGTGAACACAGTGGTGCCTAACACACTCAAATTCACAGCCACAATGGACTGCAATGCTTGTGTTGTGTGCATTAAAGCATTCTGTTGATTTGTAATAAAAGTAGGAATTTCTGACAATGATGGAAACTCAAAACATATTTTCAACATATTTAGGGGTGTCTTAGAATTTACTGATAATGAATTAATATGAAATAATTAGTTAAAAGTATTGATTGGATACAACTCCATTCCAGAATGCCACTACAATAGCTAAATTAAATTAGCTTCAATACAACATCTCCATTTGTTCCTATTTGCAGCACTTAAAGTAAGAATTTGATTAATTCCATTTTAATGCAAATTGGGCAGTAGAGAAAGAAAAGGGCCAACCTGTTTAATTTGATAGCTGGAAGTATAATAAAACCACAAAACCTTTCATTTTTTGAAATTCTAATAACAGAGTAGGAGGCAGGCTTGAATAGTAGCACAAGAGGAATTTTTTTGTTACTACTGTGCTGTTAATATTTGCTTATTATTTTGATTAATTAATTTGGTGTTGATTTGATGTTAAATGAGATCTTTGCTCTGCAAACATCTTATCAGTAACTACATACTTCTCTTATGTGGTACAGTAGCTGAAACCGTGATAACATGGGACTGAATGTAGTGACAAGCCTTGATCCCAGAAATCACTGCTGGATGCGGCCTTGCTATTTATTACCTTCACTCTTGTTAGTGCTGACAAGGCTTCATGTTTGCATCATTGCCTTACGTTTGTCACTGTGTGCTGTAATTGCTTACTGGAAAGCTTAAAGGATGGTCATAGAAAAGTTTGTGTTTCTTTGTTGCTTTAATGTAAAATTAAATATGGCTACTCATAAGACAAATGACAGTGTGTTAGAGCAGAAAGAAAAACAAAGTGAGGAAACAGATTAAGCTGTTAGTAACTCCACTGTAAGCTGATGAGATTCAGGGCTGCTTGTGCCTGTTTGTGGTCTAGTGGCTGCAGTCATAGGGTCATGAATGAGCAATGAATGACCCAGGAAATCAATAAAGGTGGAATTTGTGTCACTGATTACCAAAGTTACCTAACTTCTTTGGCTCTCAGTTATGTCATCTATAAAATAAGGGTGATTTTCTTTAAATGTTATATTCTATGAAACTTAGTGACCTCCATTTTAACATAGGTCCTTAAAGATTTGCTTAACATAAAGTAGGAAGCTAGATGATGCTGTGGCTATTATACTCACATAGATCACTGAGAGGTTTTAAAAAAGCAGACACCAGTGTTGAGAGTGTTCATTTGCAAACAACACACTGGTTCATTGCAATGGCACCATTGAGTGGCTTACCACTCTGTCATCTTTCATCATGTTGCCTTGAGGTTATAGATATACTCCCTTTAGACTAGGTTGAGAAAGAGCATGTCAACTACTTTCTAGCTAAATGCAATAAATACTTGATAGATACTTGAGATATTCCTTGATTCCAGTCCTTTAATTAAAGATAAAAAATTTTAGAGTGTATACCCATTATCACTAATGATTTGATAATCCTTTAAAACATTACATTTTATACCTTGCAAGATGGTAGCAAATAAAACAGTAAAAATGTGGCAAATGAACAGAATGAACTTATAATATGAGAATGAATATCACTTCAAAGTCTGTCTCTCTCTCTCAAAGTAGTGGGGTTTAGTTATTTTTAGTCTGCTTAACAGACAATATTACACATGATAGAATGCAAAAGAAATAGCACCAGGTTACTTTATATTTCATTCTTAATTTAGTGTGGAATATGGCCATGGAATGGGCAGTGCTGTCTGAATAGAAAAACAGTACTGACCAACCTGCTATGTAGTAGTTACAGGGGATAGAGGTCCATTTTCTATCACTGACATTTTTTTTTCAGCTTTTCATTTTGGAAGATATCTTTGACTTGGAAATAAAATTTTGGAAAGAGTTGGATCATTAGAACTTGTTTCCATTTTCCCTGAAGATGTGCTAAATCATGAGTAGGTTTCAGTAGGTTTTCATTGGTCCTAGAAGTCTTTTAGTTGGTAGAAGATGGGCTCCACTCTTAGCTCCACTCTTCTGTAGCTGAGGTGCCTTTGGCAAACCACTTACCATCTCTGAGCTGAAACTGTGTCACCTGGAATTGATACGTAACTGGTAGGTGGCTGTTAGGGAGAAGCTAGATGACAGAGATAATGTGCTTTAGCGCAGCACACTATAAATTCTTAACAATAGTACTCTATCAGTGTGAAGATGGAACTGCAAGAAAATCTATAGACAATCAAAATAACCAATTCAGAAATTCAACTCAGTTTGTTTCTGAGTTATATCAGTATAGTATGTAAACATTTTAGCAAAATGGTAGACATGTCAGGGACATTCAACATCCTTATGTAGAAAAGGGTAGGACATCTAGTTTGCTGAATTTTGAATTTCTGGGATACATTACTGCATGGAATATAGTAAACATCTGATCATTAGTTCCTTGAAGGAACTAGAGAAACCTTCAGGTAGATGGTGAGGCTACGAGATACCTTGACCACTTTTGGGAGAGCTTCTGAGTCCCTCATTCCTGCTTGCCACTTCTTCCACTTGGCTTTCTGCTGAGAGCAGGCTGCTTAAGAGTTAGTTTAATTGCTACAATTAGCAAAATTAAATGGCCCATTATGTTTTTATACAATTCTACCCACACGCTGCAGTTTTACTTTACCATGAGTAATGATCCTGTTGAAGCTGTCCATCACATATCTGAGTCATGTCATGGGCCTATTTTCAGGAAAGCAGTTGGACAAGAGCTGTTGACAGAGAGCTCTGTAGTGACCCGGTGTTACCCACAGGTGCCCTTGGGAGGAGTGGGATGTCACCCACATGTTCAGGTCATTACCAAAGGGATACAGGTCAGGGCAAGAGACTCAAAAGTTGGGGCTAATGTGAAACTGTCCATTTTTAGCCAATTAGAAGCACACAAGTACTGGGTGGCAGAAAAGCATCATGAGCTCCAAGCTGGCAGAGGCAATGATTTTGATTATTTTCAAAGGTTACAGTGAATCACTAGGTAAAGGAATATGAAGAGATTTGTGTCAGCCACTAAAACAACATTAAGGACCACCTCAGTCTTGCTGTGTTTGTGAGCCTGTGTCTCTCCCATTCTCCCAGAGACAGATTCTGAATGACAGTTGGAACTATTTTTAAAAAGGCTTTAAGGAATTCTCCTTAGAAACATCAAAATGCAGCCATCTCATCCAAGCTTTATATAGAAACAGTCATGGTTAGTGGCAAAGATATGTGGGGAATGTGAGGGAGTATATATTTAGCCGAGAAAGTGGTTCATTAGAAAAAAGTTTCTGAATTATTGTTGAAACACTGTGTCAGAACTTGCTTCCACTCAGTAGGATTTGGTACATTTGACATGAGAGGTTTCCTTGGCTCAATCCAATGTGTGCAAGGAAAGGAACTTTGAAGTGACATAAAACTACTTTATTCAGTAGCTTAAAAGATGAGATGATTAGAGTGATAATGTTCACTTAAGCCAAGAAGCAAGGATTGCTGATTTTGAAAAGGAAGTAGATAAAAGTTTCTTGTTTAAAAGGTCATGTGCCAATGCATTAGTGAACAGAACATACTTTATCCTTGCCATCTGTTATTTTAGCAACCCATACATATGTAGGTTTTTTTGTTTTGGTTTTGATTTTTTGAGACAGGTTCTACCTATAGCTAGCTTGGTACTCAGTATGTAGATCATGATGGCCCCAGTCTCACAGTTATCTGCCTGTTTCTGCCTCCCAAATGCTGGGGTTAAGGGCATGTGCCTTTAACTCAATGAGATGTGATTTTTGTTTTTTAAAGTAATTGAGATTTAAGTAATTTTCTATTCAGTTTAAAAATTTCTGTGTGTGCATGTGTGTGTGTGTGTGTGTGTGTGTGTGTGTGTATCAGTGTATGATGTATATGTGTGGGTGGGTGTGCCATAGGTGCATGTTTGGAGGTTAGATGGCAGCTGTGCAGTCAGTTCTCTCCTTTCACCTTTACACGGGTTCCAAAGATTGAACTCATGTGAGACTTGCATCTTTGGATGATAAGCACCTTTACCAGCTGAGTCATCTTGCTCACCCAAGTTTAAAAAAAATTACACTTATTTATTACTTATGTATATGTATGTATATGGGTGTGTACATGCTATGGACTTGTATGGAGGTCAGAGGACAACTTGTGGGAGTCAGTTTTCTTCTTCCAACATATAGGTTTGGGAGATTGAACACAAATCATCAGGCTTGGTGGCAGGCACTTTTAGCTGCTGAGACATTTGGCTAGCCCATATCATTTCATTTACTCATAAAGTTCACCAGACATTTAGGAAACATCATAAATTCCCTCATTCTTGTCTTCAGATTATCTGTGTAATTTATCCTTTGCTAACACTTGAATTATAGACTCTTGATCTCTTGGTAAGGGAATTTATTTCATTTGTTAAGTTAGTAGCATTCATCATAAATGAATGGTAACTGAGTGTCTACAAAAGCAGTTACTCAACTGGACAACACAGAGTCAAGCAGGACAACATGAATATGCATAGAAGATATAAAGGGCATAGTTATATTGAGAAGGGAGACTTCGATATTCTTAGAAAATTGCTTTACTTACCTACAAAGGCATTCTCAACATAAATAAGATATGTGTGTTCTTTAAACATGGATTCATTCAGAAATGTTAGTTTGAAAGAGAAAATTTTCTAGTATTTTTCCTTTAGAAAACATCACCATCCAATGTAAATAATTACTGGTCAGAGCAGGCCATTTTTTGTGGAATCAAAGTGGATTCAGAGCCAGGAGATCTCAGCCTGGGACAGAGCCCTGTGTTTCCATTTGCACGCCAACCCTCAAGCTTCCCTTTCTCTAGACCTCTACTCTCTGTAGAGCTTCACGGCAGATAAAAATGAAATTTTAGGAAGAATTAGAATACAAATACAGAGGCCGAGCTTTGTTCTTCATGCATTGAGGATGCCTGTGTAAGTCCTGGCACTAACTCTCTACTGTTTGTGCTTCTGTCCTTCACAAGAGTTTGATGGTTGTGTGCTTTCTGAATCACCAAAGCAAGATTAAGTGGGGACATTTCTCTGGAGTGGCATTGTAATTATTGTCTGATTTTCTTATCTTTCAAAAGTTGTTATCTATGACACAGTGGAAATCTCTGATTTCCTTTACAAGAATTCATCCCCTCACCAAAACATCATCATATTTCAATAAATAAATCAGATCAAATAATATTTACAATATTTGGGAAATGATTGAAAAATTCAACCTTCTTATATCTGTCTGCCTGCCAATTTTACCTTCAAGACAAAACACAGTATATTATCTTTTATTTACATCATCATTGTTTCAACTCTTAACATGTTACATGTGAGATCAAGTTGAGAAGTAACTTAAAACTTACATGATCGAAGGGCGAAGGCACCTGCTTCATTTGTCTTGCGTGAAGGATTAGATCTGTTATTTACTTGTGGAGTCAAAAGGACAGTTTGACTGAGAAGTTCAATTTCCAAAGATAGATGTTGTCTTGGAACAAATGAAGTTAATAACTCAAGGTTTTGGATACCGGTTAAGAATCTTTCCAAATGATTATGTTTCTGTCCTACCTTGGGATGGGATGTGCTGACAAGCAGAGTGCCTTCCTAGAGCGTCAGTAGTGACTAGGTCATCTTTCCACATCCCAGCCAAAGCTTAGCATATTTTAGTGGAAATCTTGCTTGAAGAACCAGATCATTGAATACTAGGAAATATGTCTGATAAAAATTGTCTTAAAAAATTGCTTTGGAGTTTTGTACCAAAAGAAGTCCCAGGTCAAGCCCTCTGTCACTGCCTGTGGATGTCCTTTTGGAGACCACAGTCTCTGGATGACATATCCATTACAGGTGGTGGCTCTAGAACCTGACTATTTTAAGTATATTGGGCAGTCCAAATAAGTGAATAATTAAATGAAACTGACTTTTTCCCTAGTTTTTGTGGCTTGACTAATCTTTAATATATCGATTAAGTTAATATAAAACTGGGAAAGGAAGTTTAAGACATCTTCCACTGTGGTCAGGGCAGTCTAATGGATGGATGAAAATAATCACTTACGTCTTTGATTTCCTGGGAAGTATCAGCTAGTCTTCACAAGCTGCTAGTTAGGCTGTTTCTCTCTTCATCTGGTAGTCTAATAGCACCCCTGGCCAGGTTCCTAGGGGCACTGACTTGCAAAAAGTAAGGTTACCTTGCAAGAGACCAGTGTTATTCAATCTGCTGTGGCAGGCTGATGGATTTGTGGATCAGTTTCTGACATTCCAAAAGAATATGACGTATTTTAAATGATTCCAAGTCTATAAAAAAAGTGATGATGCCTATATTATACCCTATATTTTTATTACAAAAATATTGAAATAATCCATGAGTTATTCCACTCTGCACCAACTATAAAAAATACTATCAAAGTTTGACCGGCACTTTTAATGCAACAAAAAGCACCATGACCAAGGACACTGAGAACAGAAAGCGGGAACGTTTACTTGCTGTACGGAGGTATTTAAAACCCAGAAGCTTGTAGGAGTGCAACTTTACAGATGATTCAAATACAAATCTTAGCTGAAAGAGTGATAAGTCCTCAAGTAGTTCAGAAGATTTTCTCACAGCAGACATACTGCATCTGTATGCTCATACTTACTAAAAAGTGTCCTGAAGCCTCTAGAAGAAGCATCACTTGGACCTTGCATGGAGGCGGGAAAGTCTTGTTTAGAGTAGAGAACCTGATTGCTCTTCTCTTATCTGCTTGGGGGGCCCACACCACTTATTGTCAGTTTTGGGAGATTCCATGTCAGTTCTGTGGTTGGACAGAGTTTGGCACTAGAAAGATGTGTTATGTGTTTTTCTCGAAACATATTTGCCTACCATTCTTATTTGGTACTTGGAAACAGCCCTGGTGACAGCCCCTTCCTCTCCTGTGGCACATGCTCTGTGGGTACGTTCCAATGGACCATGCACACATGGGAATCAGATTCTCATTTGGCCCCTCCCCAATTCCTCTTTGCTATCAATTGAATTTTTGCAATTGAATACTGAATCATGATTTTCATTTAATTTACATGATGGAGTTATAGAGCTCCTTGGTTTCATCAAAAGCCATACATGTGCTGCATAGGATTTCTGTCATAAAGAACGCTTTCAACCAAAAAACCTAAAGAAAAATCCTGAAATGTGTAGAGAAGGAATCACTCCATCAACGCTAATGCATCTGTAAACACTTGAGGTTTCTGTCCATTGTGCAGGCTTTTTCACAGATGGGATCTGGTTTCCAGATGAGAAAATGATTCATGAAAACTTTTCTAAGCACTACTACTTTTTTCCAGGAGTCTTGAGGGATATATTCTCTCTTTGTTGTGAAAATCAGAGTTTTGCATCAAGGAAATCACCTAAGCTCTTTTGATAGAGGACTCTTAATGTGTAGTGTGTGTGTGTGTGTGTGTGTGTGTGTGTGTAAATATATTTATGCAAAAATCAGTAAATTCCATCAAAACACCCTAATGACTAGAGGCAACATTTTCCATAATTAGTAGTACCCTCTGGTGAATGTGCTCCAAGCCAGAGCTGGAGGTGTTGGTAGCAATAGTCAAACTAAGCTGGCATGGCTCCTTTAGGTGGAGTAAGAGACTCTAAGCACTGCTGGACTGAATGGAAACCAGCAACAGGTAGTCAGCTGACAGATCAAACCATACCATAATGATGGTCAGACTAAGAACATTGCAGCTCATTGCCCCACTCTTGGACAAACTGTCATCATTACCACAGCCTTGCTGTTACCCCTTCATGTGGGCATTGTGGCTTGTTCAAGTCCTTTTGTTTTACAAGGTGGTTTCATATTCCAGCCGCTCCTGAATAAGGGCATCATCTTTGTACTGCAGCCTTGGAGGAGACGGGGAAGATTCGAAGGCTAAAATGGCCTTTCTCAGGCTTCGGTCCAACACATGTCTCTCCCATGCTGGATACCTGTTCCTGAACAGGTCAATTTTAATGACTGATTCTTCAATCCGTGGTGGTCGAGAAGATGGGGTGGGTGGGGCAGTTGGTCTCACCTGAAACACAGGTACACATCCATCCCTCTCTGAAAATTTCTGATCACGGTCACTGGCAACACTGCGGTTGTTGGAGATGGAACGGAGGGTGCTTGTGGCCACTTCTGGAGGCAGAGAGAAGGCGGTGGCAGGGTCTTCACAAGCACAACTTGGTGACTGCCCAAATCTGGGCCCATTGGGATGGAAGAAGGCATAGTACATTAGCATAAAAACAACTCCTGTTAAAAAGCTGCTGAAAACCACGCACAGCGCAGGAATGGCAAATGCATCTGCAATCTGGGGAGCTTTGTAGAGGTACCAGAGTGCACTCAAGGCTGTGTTTTCTAAAAGGATCACAAAATAGTAAATGAACAGCCTGCAGCGTGTCCTGCCTTCCTTGACATTGAACCAACTGAAGATGTAGATGATCCCCACTACCATGTCAAACACAATCTCTTCCCATTTGGTGATACAAAATTCTGTCTCACAGTGGACAATCCAGAAGGTCATGATGCACCAGTGGAGGACAATGAAGATCCCAAAGTACAGCTGGAAAACAGAGGCAAAGAGGGCAAACGTGATGACCCTGGCAGCGATGGTGAAGAAGTGCCAGCAGAACTGGATGATGACGGCCATGTAGCTGATGGGCTTTTTGTCATCCCGAGAGTCCCTCAAGGCCTTCTGGTAGGAGGCCAGGGCCCAAGCCAAGGACACAAGGGAGGCTGCTGCTGTGAAACCTACAAAAGCAAACAGGAAGACATCTGTCAAAAAGTGAGAGGCAGTGGTGTTCGGAGTCAAGTCACAGGGATCTGGTGACTTGGGACAGGCTAGCCTGAACCTCAGCAGAGGCTGTTAATTTATTTGTGTTTTAATTGGGCTAAATGTGCACATGAGGTGACAGACACACTGAGAAGGCCTGAGATAATGGGGACACAAAGCTCATGTGAGGTCCAACATCTGGAAATGGAGTGCAATTTAACTTTCTGTATGTTGTGGAAGTTTACCAAGGGAACCGTTTTGAGTAACAGGAAAACTACCAAGGGCTAGAGGCTGACAGAACTGGGTTGTTGCTTCAGTTTGAAAACTTGTTACCTGCATGCATGATGATGAACACCCACTGAAACCAGTGTTCATACTTATAAGGTACTGATCCCCAAGGCTCCCTGTCAGCTTAAAGAGTCTTTCTGTGCTTAAAAGGGACACAGCATTAAAGAACACTGGAGAGACCGGCAGCTGCTTTACCTTTCTGCTTCTAAGAATGATGTAGCTCATTCCCCAAAGACAGTTATATTTCTTTAAGATAAGGACAGGAATCCATACAGCAAATTTGGACTTAATTTCTCGTGACACCTGGTATGCAGTTTCTCCTGATGCCATCCGGTAGTTCCCCTGTAGCGTTTGAAACTTCTTACTGCCTTCCCCTTGAAAGAAGAAATGCCTACTCACTGCCATCCATTTATTAGCTTTTCATAAATTAAAGGCTGTACAGAAATCACTTTTTAGTTACTGCTCATATTTTATTCTTTTATATTTCTCCTGGAAAGATTTCCAAATTTCAGGAATCATTTCCATTGCTGTCCTGTTCTTAGTTGCTCGGTCTCTGGTGTCTCAAAGTTCATGGGTATGGTCCAGATGTGGACAGGGCTCACCTTAAAAGCCAACAGCCTCCCAGGAGAGACCTCTTTTGGAGAACTGCTTTGTCAGTGCAGCTAACTTACTTAAGGAGCCATACGAGATTTTCCAAGACTAAGAAAGGTCTCATGGTTTGTGAAGGTCAATTGGCTTTTTCCTCTCCAGATCTATAATTAATCAGAAGAGACTTCACAGCAGATTTTCTTTTACTTTGGAAATAATAGGAGCTGTGTGGAACTGGTACTTTTCTTTTTAAAAACTATTTTATTGAAGTGAAAGTGACTCTGATGGAAATGAGTAAAACTGATAGACAAAACCCACTAAACTCCAATAATCCCTTCTTACTGATTCTCTTTGATCAAGGTGAATGCCCCAAAATAACTAATCATAAACAATATTTTCCAGTGCCCACCTTCATCCTTCCCCCCCCCCTTACAAAGCAAGGAGGAACCTCTTTATGGGCACTGGATTCTTCGTGTTTTTTTTTTTTTCTAGTCAGCACAACCATTGCTCATTGTGATAAGCCACACTTAACTACTGAGTCAGAGATCAGTACCCAAAGAGTTTAAGATAATTTGGTTTCTGTGTATTTTAAAATATCAATTACACAGTCAATTCATGAATAAAAAGAAAAGGAAGGGTTAAAAATGGAGAAGGGAAGTGAGAGGAGGGGAAATAATAGGTGACAGGATCATATATGTGACCAATATATTTGTGATGAGTTTGTGCTCAAAGAACAAAGATGGTGCCACTTTAATTTCAACATCTTCATTGCATTGTGTGGGATGTGCTCATGCCCTCCTTATCAGCTCCATTAGCAAACTTGAAGCCTGGGTCCTTCCTCTTCTTCAGATAGGGTATCACTATGTAGCACAATCTAGCCCCAAACTCCATATCCTTCTGCCTTATCCTCCTGAGTGTTGGGGTTACAGTGTGTGCAACAGTCTTTTGAATGGACTGTGCTCTGACACTTAAGGCAGCTGCCCGGGTTGTTGCTATGCCAGATTGAGTCTCCTCTTTTCACATGTCAGCTCAAGCACAGCACCAGCTGGGAGGGACCATTGCATTACTCGCCAGGCTCCTGTAGACTGATTGGCCTAATCAGGAAAGTCAGGCAGTTTCTACCACTTGGCATGGAAGATGTTACTCAAGGCTGCTTTCTAAAGCCATGAAGCAGGTTGAACATCTTTAATCTAAAGAAAATCAAATTTATCAAGGCTTCTAATTTCCAAACCTTTGTTGTACTTATAAGACACAGCTAGTGAAAAGGTCCCCACGTGGCCTCATGTGATGGTTCACAAAATATATAAAATTATCTTTAGGTCACATGTGCAAAGCATATATGAAACGTAAGTGAATTTGTGTTTGACTTGAATTCATCATAAGAATGTATAAATATGTATCAACAAATATTCTGAAATCCTCCCCTTACTGAAATCAGAAATTTGAATCACTCCTGGTCACAAATTCTTGAGATAAAGCGTGCTCAACTTGTAGTAACAAACTGTATGCAGATATCATAATATCACGATAATATTATCTGTTGTCAAATATAAAAGACTAGAAAACACATCATATCCAAATTTCCCTGTAATCCCAAGGAACATCTGTGTTGCATTTTGGGAATTGAAAATGATAGAGTCAAAGTACAGAAATGAGCACTTTCAACCAGCTTTGCTTTCACACACATGTCTTAGTAAGAGGATCTTTACTGAAGCGGAAGCATATTGTCCATCCTGACCTTTAAAATTCTCTGCTTTAGTAACAGCACAATTTCTCTTTTTCATTTTATTATGCTTTTTCTTCTTTTATTAATGAGTTATCATAAAGCAACACAGTAAAGTTAATACCATCAGACAATTTAATATCAATACATTTTTCTAACCCACCTTTAATAATGCACTTTTATCCTCTGACCTTAATGATTTCTGTTCTAGCCTTTTCCTGCTGGTGAAGGATTGCATTTAGGATAGGTATGATATTCAGCTGTCCTCTAAGCTCAGTCTTTTTAATCTGGAGTATTTCCCCAGATTTTATTTACCCTATTGTAACATTAATGCATTTTAAACACTTATTTATGAGTGTTTGCCTGCATAGATGTAAGTGTACCACATACATGTTTGAGGAGGCCAGAAGAGGGCAATTGATCCCCTGGAGCTGGAGTTTCAGACGTGGGTGCTGGGAACCAAACCTGTGTACTCTGCAAGAGCAGCCAGTGTTCTTAACCACTTAGCCATCTCTCTAACCCCTCATTAATATTTTTTGAATACCATAGTATGTCTAAAAAGGAAAATAATGTTCCTCATTGCGGGTTCATCTGCTCTTTCCTCGCACTTACATGTAGATTATACATCCCAGGGAGGACTACTTAAATGACATAGAACAATATGTTTTTTAAAATTATTTATTTAATAACCATATAACTAGAAGAGGCATTTCATTACAACAGCATTGTCATATTCAATAACAATCTCCAGAGCTAAGATGCATCTCTTTCAAAATTGGCTGTAATTTTTAGGTTTACAGTTTAATTAATACAGTTACACAATATTGCACTCTGTACAAACCCTATAAGACAGAAAATTAAATGAGGTTTAAAACCCCAGAAAAGATCTCCATTTCATTATTAAAATACACAGTTTCATACAGAAAAATATATTTTTAATGCAATTGACGTTAAGATGTTTGCACGTGCATTTCTAATCTCTATATATCAGATTATTACTAGTCACAGTCAGTTACTTTCTGAGCTCCTTGGCATCTGAACATGGATATAAAGTCATCAAGTAGATTTCAATGATAATGCTTTTCACATCTACTAATTATTAAGGAGCAATTTTTTTGTTTTGAAGAATTATTATTTTTTAATCATATATTTTTTAAAAATTTTAATAACTACATGATTAGAAGCTTATTATTATTATTTATATACCCATTTCCTAGGTAACAGCTCCCCACAGCCCCCCTCCCCGCACTAGAGCCCTTATACTCTGATATCCCTGCTACTGTCTGCTATGTCGTTGGTACCCCCAGCCATTCCCTACCAGTTGCCCTTCTGGTGAATCTAGTTAGCCTATCTAGAGGGCCCCATTTTAGGAGGGTCAGCTGTTCCTCATCCAGTGGTAATCAGTTGTCAATATTCCTTTGGATAAGATTGAAGTCTTCTGTTCAATTTCCCAGTTCTGTGCTGGGTTACTATCTGGGAATCCATTTGGCCACCCTGGCCAACAATGCAAAAGAAGATATCGCCTGTTAGCAATTGTTGCTCATTATGTAGCCTTTATCTATACACATGGACTCTTATGAAATTATATTGGCCCTTTTAATCTTTGGTTATACTTTCCTTTTGGGTGTTTAAGGCCATAGAATGGTCCAGATAAACCAATTTATTTTTACTCTTAAGGTCCTTTGAGGATCTGTTCCTCAGGGGTCACATGGGCTTGGGAGGAGCCCCTGGCTCCTTTCTTTTACCAGTTTTCCCTATGTGAAGATAAGTAAATGGTCCTGCTCAACCATGGTTGGCTTCGCATGGAAGCATGGAGGAATGATTCCTCTGTGTTGACCCTCCTCTTTATAGACTGGACACTGGTTCGAGTCCATCTGGTGGGGTCTCCTCAGCTTCCTTGATCAAGAGGACAGGTGACCCACCACCATCACAAGACATTTTGAGAGATGCTCATAGTCCCCTGGAACTAGCTGACCTAGGAGGGCAAGGAGCAAAAAGTGTCCTTTATGTTCCTCTGACCAAATTATTATAGACCTCAGTATGTCTGTTAAACACCCAAGAAGGTTAGTTCCACCAGTCTGGTATTTTTAATTACTGTGTGTCATGGAGACAAATCCTGGGAAAAGACCAGTTGTTCTCAGACAAACCTTACATATATATATGTTGATCTGCTATGTTGTAGAAGTAAAATGGTTCCCTCTGTTTTTCAAAACTAGCTAGGCATTGTTTATCTTTCACATTGTCTCACCCCTCCATCAAGTGGTTTTCCCACTTAAGGTGCCCTCATTTCCCACCTTTCTCTTATGGTCCTGCCTCTCTTGAGCTCCTTCTTTCCTTTATCCCATAGGTTCCTTGTATACCCTTTCCTCCCCCCCCCTC